AATAGCTAATAATTTCATTGGTATTTGGGCTAGGCAAGAAACACATAACCACTCTCAAACTTGGTTGCAACTCTGTGGGAGGTTCGGACCACTGTTTGAGAATCCCTAACAGAGTCAAAGATTTTATTTTGTAATTCCCGCTGCATTCAGATGCAATATTGCTTAGGATGAAGTGTGGCACATGCTTCCCCTTTCTCCCAGGATGTAAATTATCTAGCACACATATGGATATAAAGACAGGCAAAAGGAAAAAGATTCATGCAATTAGAAAAAATACATATGTTAGAGCCCGCAAGATTCAGCTGTTATTTAACAGAAAATCCCCTTGTGCTAAATGCTGTAATTTTGTCAAGGAAAAGTTGTACTTCAGCTAAGTTTGTCACTGTTTGATGGATGGACAAGCTGAATTTCCAAACAAGGCTAAATCTTATTGTTAGCTCCATCATTCATAGAATGACATAAGCAGGTATAATTTTGTCTCTTCTTAACTGTTGAATAGTGTCATGTAATTTAAGTGTTCAGAACACCTCAATTAAATATTCAGCAGTATTCCTTGGCTTTACTTGTTGATTTTCTCAAATAGGCACAGGCATCACTTGGTTACTCAAGAACTTACAACTTAATGTATGAATGGACTGCATGACAAAGGGAAGAGAAAGTGACTGCTGCTTTTCAACTGTGAGGGCTCATCCATGCTCAGGGATCTACAGTTAGCAACTTGTCATTTGTTACTGCTATAATATCATGTGTGAACAGGCCTTTGATTGTCCCCTGATGCAAACTCTTTTCTTGAAAATTGTACAGGAAGGTTTAAAAAGGCATCTGGAAGCAAGCACAAAGTTGAATATGGATAACTCTGATTCATGCAGCAGGAAAGGGGTAATCATAGTAGTTGACTTATTCTGTTACATCAACAGTGTGCATTTTTTTCTAATGAAGGTCATATTCCACCAGGAGTAATTTGTTAGAGGCAACCTAGTAGGTGGAGATGAAGCAAACAATGAGAAAAGCCAGAGTCGTACGTGGGCACAAAATGCCTATATTTTCTCAATATTTTCCTGTTGGAAAGGCTTCTGGGTGAGGGCCTCTGGTGGGTTAGACATCCCTGCGAGCATCTCTGTGAGACCATAGGAACTGAGTTTCTTGCGGTCGCTCGTGGGTTGAGCAGCTTGGGAGCCGAGCTTTGAGCATTACTGTTATGCTCAAAACCCCTGTGCAGCCTTTATGGCTATTTGACCTGCAAAGACCTCACTTTCTTAAACACTTTCAGGTACAGTTAATTTACAACTTAAAAGAGATCTTCCGACTGGCAGGAAAGAATAAAGATACTCGTTGAGTTGCCTTCCTTTTGGAATTAAGAAGAGAAAAAAACCCCTATATTAAAGGTTTTTGACTTAAAAGCAAAAAGCGTAACAAGATTGTGATTTAAGAAAGTTTTAAATGGATAAAGGGGTCAGTAATTTTTAGAAAACAGATGTTTTTTCTTTGACAAAAGTGCCTTTGAAAATAGTAAAATTAACTAGACAAACAGATTGGACCTTTGTGGAAATGCTGATTGTTTATTATTAAGGAAAGTAGATAATTGGTGGATTTTACAAAATAAGATAAGGGTAACATGAGCCAGACTATGTGACTGTAGCTACAGAGAGCTAACTGGGACTAAAATGTTAAAGACAGAGAAAAGCAAAACAGGAATAAAAAAGAGAGAAGCTCGCCTTTTACTTTCACTTTTGGGCCATAAAAATTACAATGGCAACCACAAGAAAAGCAGCAGAAATAGCAGAAAGAAGGAGAGGTTCACTAGAACAACTTACAGATAAGGGCATCATGCCTGATCTATTGCAGAAAATGTTTGAGGAATTTGGTGAGGCCATATGTGGTTCTAAAATCACAGATTATTCTTTAAGTCATTGGTCCTTCACTCATGTATTACACCATTGGTACCTCAACTTCAATACTCTTGAGTTAGATATTGGTCTGTCAGTTTCACCCACGTACTAGACTTCAACATCAATACCCATAAATTAGACATTGGTCCATCACCTTCAACACTGTCTACTGACTGGCAGCAGCTTTATTTCTTTATCAATCATTTATATTTATCAGGCTGCCCAAATCAACACTAACTCTGGATGACATACAAATAAAAATAAATAGAACAAACCTCTTGAGTTAGATATTGGTCTGTCAGTTTCACCCACGTACTAGACTTCAACATCAATACCCATAAATTAGATATTGGTCCATCACCTTCAACACTGTCTACTGACTGGCAGCAGCTTT